TTATATAAAAAAGTTAATACAAAAATTTCCATATAGGAGAAATTGGGAGAAATCTTTTTTTTTTTTCAAAAAGTTTTGAAAAAAAAAGTTATTAGTTTAAAATTATATTAGGAAAAATGAAATTAAGAATAACACATATTCTTCTTTTATTATAGTACTAAAATATAAAAATATGTAAATAATTCTAAAGAATAATCTAAATAAGAGAGAAAGTAAGAGGCAAACTTTTCTTCCCAACCAAACACCCTCTTTAATTTTAGGTTGCACCCTTCTCATCTATAAGTTACTCTTAGTGTATGCTACGGGGCTGCTTTAGTATGTCATGTAAGATTCTTGAACTTAAGGGATGTTTTAGTAGTTAGAAACTTAATTTTTATATTAGAAATTTTAAATTTTAAATTTAAAATGAGTGAAGAGAGTTATTTTGTTGTATAATTTATTACCTAGTATATAAAAAAGTATGTCATATGATATATATTTTTTAATTTACACAATCAAAATGTTTTAAATTAGTTTACATGTACTAAAAAACTAATTTATCCTCATACAATTTTAAGAATATTCTTTTTATATTAATATGGTAAAGTAATTAACTGCCTGATGCTAATCTCAAATACTAGAATTGGGATTAGCATAAGAGAAAACTTTTCACTTAGAGGGTTATGGTTATCTTTTCACTTAGAGGGTTATGGTTATGATTAGCATTCGATCTGTTAAAATTATTAATAATGATAAAAAATTCTTATTTTATTTTATTTTTTATAAAAAAATTTATTATAATTTAACTATTAAAAATAATTAAAAACTCATAAAATAATTAATATTTATTATTTAGTATCTTAAAATTAATTTATAAACAAAAATTTTTAAATACATAACTAATTATCTAAAAATTTATAAATTAATAAAATTAAATTAGTTACCTTAATAAATAAATTAGACAGGCGTAACAACAACCTCAGCCCACTTAAAGCATCAGATGTTTTTTCACTTGAAATAAAACGAATAATAGTTTTTACTTAACGCAACGCATATATATATTTTTTTAACCTTAACGCATCGAATTTGGCAATGTGTTTTCTTGGCAAAAACCGTTCTTAAGCCCCCAAATTTACCCCAAAATAACATTTAAACTTTTAAACTAAAAAATGAAGCAGATAAGCCCTTTAACTCCACTAACAATGCAAATAAACTCTTCTCAAAAATGGATCAAACAGTATTTCATGTTTCATATCACTTTGTAAGTATGAACAACCATAAATGAGAATGGCTCATTTGCATCATTAGTAGAGTTGGAGGGCTTATCCGCTTTATTTTTAGTTTAGGGGGTCAAATACTGTTTTGGGATAAGTTTGAGGGCTTAAGGAGGGTTTTCGCCCGTTTTCTTTCCTTCTTTAGTGACTCGGACCCGGGAACAAAAACCCAAACCGAAACCCGGATCCGTGAGTTAGCCAGATTTTTAGACAAAACAAGGCGGTGAGCGCACATGTATTATGTACAACTGTCTCTCTCCTTTCTTCCCCGTTGTAGCTAATTTCCCTAAACATTACTCACCACTCGTTATCCTCTTCTCTCCGATTGAATCCTTCGCCACCGTTTCCCCACTTCCCGACCTCTGATCTTCGTCACCTACCCTCGCCGGAGCTTCCGTTTGCTTCTTTTTTCCGTTACTTCAATGGGTTGAAGAGGAAGTAGCGGATTGCTTGCTAAAAATGGAGTGGGACAGTAATTCCGATCTGAGCGGGGATGAGGAGGAGGGCTTCATGCTTAACGATGGCGGTCCACTTCCTTTCCCTGTCCAGAACTTGTTTCAAACTGCCCCCTGTGGGTTTGTTGTCACCGACGCTCTCGAGCCTGACCACCCCATCATTTATGTCAACACCGTCTTCGAGATGGTCACTGGGTATCGCGCTGAGGAGGTTCTCGGTCGCAATTGGTTAGTTTGTTCTTGCTTTTTTTTATGTTTGCGTTTAGCTCTCGCGGCTGTTTTGCTGTGATGTGAATTTTTTGAGCTGCTTTGTGGGGATAGAGATTAGGGTTTTCTCTTGGGTTTATTGGGGTTTGAAGTGACTCTTGGCTTCCAAATTTGATTGGTAATCGGGGAAATGAGGTGTAATGGTCAAATTTGATATGTATTTTTTTTTTTCAGTTTTAGGTATGTAAGATGGAATTTTGATTGATGAAACTGTAAGCAGGTTGTCTTTTTGTTCGCTTAGTTCTTCTTACTTGAGGTGGACGGAGTGGCTGTTTGTGGGGTAATAGAAAGATAGTAGCTTTAGGATGTTTAAGCTACCCTGTTTTAGGCTGCTTTTAATTTTAGTTCATATTTTATTTGCTAGAAAAAAAAAATAATAATAAACGTTATGTGTATTGAAGTTAAAATAAATTTGGGCTATGAGTTCTCTTCTTCAGCTTGCTGCTCGGCTGTCTCATGTGGTTTTTACGGAGTATAGGCATTGCCACTTTTAATATATGTCTAGGTCTAGTTTTTTGGCATTAATTCACATGATTCGTTGTTTATGATACCCTCCTTTATCATCTAGCTGCAGATAATCAGCTTGTAATTCTGATTGAATACATTGAATGTCATATGAGAATATATTGCAAAATAGATTTCATTAGGAATCATGCAAAGGGATTTGCAAATTTAATCCTAGAGTTTAAAACAGGATGAGAGGTTTATGGTGAACCTGCAGTTTGCAGCAGTAAGATCTGATGCATTTTGTGAATGAGAATATGCAGACACTATGAAAGGTTGAAGCATGCACTTAAGTTATAGAGTGAAATTTTGGGATTGAGCATTTATCCACTAGAAGGGATTAATCATGAATGATTGTACAAGCATACACTATAGTTGGATTGAGCATACACTCGAGTTGTGGAATCTTTTCTTGAGACTAGCTTTCTAATTGTGATTGGTTTTCATCAATATGTAGTTCTTAGAAGAGTGTATAACTGGGATTGAGAGGTTCTAGCTGCATTGGAATCAAGGCGCAAGTAAGCTTGGTTGAGTTTAATGGTTGCAAGTCTTAGCAGGCCTTGAACTCAGTAGTGCTTATGTAAGATGGTATAAGTATGGTCTGGGCTAGGTGAAGTTAGGGAAGTGGATATTGTTACTAGTCACACTCTCCATCCCTAAATATTCTTGTGTAATTTTACTTTATTTTGTTTGTATGCATTACTTTTGATGTCTGTGAATAATTTAGTTACACTTTCAGGAGAACAGAAAACAGAGTATTTCCACATTATGATTGTAATCTACATTTCCATTTTTTACCATTCCAAAATGTTAATGTGTAATTTTACTTTATTTTGTTTGTATGCATTGTATTTGATGTCCATGAAAAAATTAGTTACTCTTCTGGGAAGATAGAAAACAGATTATTTGGATAGATTAAAATGCATTGACTGTTAACATTAGTTTTACTATTTTAGAGGCCTATTATGAGAATTTTTGTAAAAGATGACGATTTATGCATGATTGGTATATCTTGAGAACCACTTTGTCTGTTGTCCTCTAAATAAACTTGTAAAGTCAAAGTATAAACAGGCGTGCTAGAAAATTGAACTTTACCCTTGTATTAGCAAGCATATTATTTCACTTCATACATATTATAGGCTGGATATATGGTTCTCCTAGGGTTATCAAATTTATTCAAGCTCAGAGTTTTTGATGTGGTGAATTCAAAGATCTGTCTACTGCCTATTTGGTTGACCATTGTTTTGCCCCTTTTATCTTTGTTTGAAGCTTTCAAAGAACCTTTTTGTATGTAGGTGGATAGTTTACTAGAAGTGGCTGAACTTTGAATTATATCAGGGGCTAGAAAATATTGGTTTGCAACTTATTCTTCTTCTCTTGTGATTTTTTTTTGGGGGGGGGGGGGGGGTGTTGGGGTCGTGGTTATTACTTGTTATTAGCACATTATGTAGTGATTTCTGTAGGAAATTACATTACAACATGGTGTAATGTAAACACATTATCTATGCATGTAGATACTAACATGAGACGTGACCTAGGTACTAGTAGGTGTGTTTGTTTGCATTTGAATATGCTCTTTTATTTTATTATTATTATTATTATTATTTCATTCATGCACATAAGTCTCTAATAAAGATATTGGAACATATCAAGGACTATCAAAATATCATGGGGAACTTTAAGTCAACTCTAGTATCATTTGAAAATAAGTCTAAATAAGCTAGAAAGGACATCATTTTCGGGAGCTATGGAAAACTGGGGTTTTTTTTTTTTTTTTTTCCTTCTATCCTTGTAGTTGGATAAAACATTCTTAGTGCTATGCTATCATAACCAGGTCTTTTCTTTCTGGGGAAATAGTTTGGCTGACTTATGGACAATATTGAGTTTTCTATATGCATGCGAAGAGGGAATCATCATGTAAGTTGGCTTTAGTGCCATTGCATTCGATCTGGGTATTGGAGGGGGATAGAATTTGATATCAAAGTATGAAATTGGTGTTTCTAACATCTCTTAACTTGAAAGGCTTGTTGTGCATCCTACTTTTTCACCAATGACTTGTGATGGAAGATTGTTTAGAGCCATAAGTTGTGTTTCTAAGTTATCCATTAGCAGTTAATATGATTGTTTTATTTTTTATTTTGTATTTTTTTGCCAAAGCAGTTAATTTAATCTTGGTGTGATGTTTCTACTAAAGAAACAGGAACTAATGGTTTCCCTGGATAGCTTTGGTCACTGAGATGCTATCTAAATAGTATTTGGTTTGATTGAATTAGTAATTTCTCTGCTTTTAGCATATATTTGTGTATACTGCAGGAGCTTTCTAGTATTTTTGATGTTTCATACATTTTAACAACTAGTCTTGTGAGATGTGGTGGCTTGGTTATTTGATGCATTGGTAGCCAATATGGATGGTACTCAATTTGCTGAAGTAAGTTTGTATATGGATGTGCTGATAATTGAATGAATTTTAATTCTGGATCTGTACTTCTCCAATTGTTCAAGGTCTCATGAAGCACGTTTAGAGAATATAACATATTTTGCATGATGGGGGCTGCAGGCTGTCTGATTTCTACATTATAGTTGTTTTCTTTCTCAACGATCTCCTGTTAAGCTATTTTTCTTATCTTAAATTATATCGATTGGATACACTATTACAATTTAAGAGATGAGAAAACTGTACACTCAGGGTCTCATACTTGTTTTAAATATTTATAATGCTCTGGTATTGCTCTTTGGAAGTTTTTATGCTTTTAAACTGTGGTTTTAGAAACAGTGGCCTCTGTCAGTCTCATATAATTGCCTTTCCTTAAATTCCAACGACAGGTGTCTTAGTTTATTCCAATAAAAATATGTCTTAGTTTTCTTTTTAAAGATTGAACCTTCTCACTATCTTAGTGCAACCCAGCACATGATATCTTCCCCATGTATACTAGTTCCAGATGAGATTGATGAAATTTAAAGAGTTCCAGTAAAATTATTTTTTGCTGTTCGTGATATTGAGGCCTTTGAAGTTGACTTGTTAGCGCATATTTTCATCTGTAGTAGTTGCAATCCTGGGGTGCTGCTACTCATATTCTTATGGATTATCGCTGTAAAATGTGCTTCAACTTTGCTTCTGATGTTTCTTTGTATTGTTTTCTGTTTTCTCAAGCTTGCTTCAGTTTGTGGGGCACCAATGTAACATAAAAGTTTATACTTGTTCTCTGTCACAAATCTTGCCTGGTACTTGCTGGATGTGATCTTGATAAATCCTTCTCATTGTATTTACCACATACAATGCATATTGCCAATGCTCCTTTAGTCTGGAAGCATGTTCTTATGTACCTTGCAATTTTTAATTTTAGCCAGGGAAAGAAAAGGAGTTTACTTGTTTACTTTTTAACATGGATTATGTACTGAATGTTGCTTATGTTTCTTTATTTGGGCAGCATGTGATTATGTACCCTGCAATGTTTAATTATACTCTGAGAAAGAAAAGGAGTTTACTTTTTATCATGGGCTATGTACTGAATGTTGCTGAGTTGTTGCTTTGTTCTGATAATTTGTCATTTTATTTCAGCCGTTTCTTACAGTGTAGAGGACCATTCGCAAAAAGAAGGCATCCCTTGGTAGACTCCACGGTAGTTTCTGAAATAAGGAGATGCCTTGATGAGGGCGTCGAATTCCAAGGGGAGCTGTTGAACTTCAGGAAGGATGGAACCCCTTTGATGAACAGATTGCATCTTACTCCAATATATGGAGATGATGGTATAATCACGCATGTTATTGGGATCCAATTCTTCACAGAGGCAAACATTGATCTCGGTCCAGCGCCTGGGTCTTCCATAAAGGAGTCTACAAAGTCATTTGACAGTTCTCGCTTTGGTTTGTCTCTTTTCCGGCCTATTCCAGTTGGGGACCGAAACGTTTGTCGAGGGTTTTGTGGGATACTGCAATTAAGTGATGAGGTGATTTCTTTAAAGATACTTTCACGACTAACTCCCAGAGATATTGCTTCAGTTGGTTCTGTCTGTAGGAGACTCTATGAGCTGACAAAGAATGAGGATCTTTGGAGGATGGTTTGTCAGAATGCATGGGGTAGTGAGACAACTCGTGTTTTAGAGACTGTGCCTGGTGCAAAGAGATTGGGATGGGGTCGGTTGGCAAGGGAATTGACCACACTTGAGGCAGCAACATGGAGGAAACTAACCGTAGCAGGTGCTGTTGAACCATCTAGGTGCAACTTTAGTGCTTGTGCTGTTGGGAATCGTGTTGTACTTTTTGGTGGGGAAGGAGTGAACATGCAACCAATGAATGACACGTTTGTGTTGGATTTAAATGCCAGCAACCCAGAGTGGGAACATGTCCAAGTAAGCTCTCCTCCTCCTGGTCGCTGGGGTCATACACTTTCTTGTGTGAATAGTTCTCATCTGGTGGTATTTGGAGGCTGCGGAACACAGGGCCTGCTGAATGACGTTTTTGTGTTGGATTTGGATGCAAAACCTCCAACTTGGCGTGAAATATCAGGGTTGGCCCCACCACTTCCTAGATCATGGCACAGCTCCTGCACCCTTGATGGTACAAAGCTGATAGTTTCTGGTGGTTGTGCAGATTCTGGAGTACTTCTTAGTGATACTTTTCTACTTGATCTTTCAATGGAGAAACCTGTCTGGAGAGAAATACCAGTGGCATGGACCCCACCATCTCGTTTGGGTCACACACTGTCAGTTTATGGTGGTAGGAAAATATTGATGTTTGGGGGTCTAGCCAAGAGTGGTCCCCTAAGATTCCGTTCTAGTGATGTATTCACAATGGATTTGAGTGAGGAGGAACCTTGCTGGAGATCTGTAACTGGGAGTGGAATGCCTGGTGCTGGAAACCCAGGGGGAATGGCTCCACCTCCTAGGCTTGATCATGTTGCTGTTAACCTTCCTGGTGGAAGAATCCTTATTTTTGGTGGGTCTGTTGCTGGTCTTCGCTCTGCTTCCCAACTATATCTCCTGGACCCCACTGAAGAGAAGCCTACATGGAGGATATTGAATGTTCCTGGGATACCCCCAAGGTTTGCTTGGGGGCATAGTACTTGTGTTGTTGGTGGGACAAGGGCTATTGTCCTTGGTGGTCAAACAGGTGAGGAGTGGATGCTAACTGAGCTCCATGAGCTATCACTGGCAAGTTCTGTTGTCTGATTAAAGAATATGCATGAAAGGAAGAACAATTTGTTGTAAAGTCATTGGAACTCACTGAATACAATTCCACAATGAGAAGACCATCTTGACAATCAATTGGAGGACATTGTTCAGTCACTGAACAACAACAAAAGAAATCTCAACAAACATTTGGTCTGGTCAGGACTTTTGTAATAGGTGATTGTTGATAATGCGTTTTCATGTACAAGGTTGTTCTGGCTCGGGATAAACTTTGAAATGAGTGACTTGAACCGTGTTTTGTTTTTTACTTTGTAAGGTTTGTATTGGAACTACCTGACAATACTCACAATGGACTATTCTTGGTTGTTAGGATACTAAAAAGGTAGGTATTTTATATATGTATGTAGGTTTTAGTTTCTTCTTTGTGCCCCATACGTTTTTATTGAGATTCTGTAATTAAAAGATGGGAAAAGAGTGTTGCATGTTTATAGTGAGCTCCTATGCCTATATCATGCCCAAAATTGCAGGAGATGGTAGTAGGAGGACGGTTGTGTCTCTGAACTCTGATTTTTCTTTCATTTAGTTTCTGAACTAGAGAAGCATGTATGCATGCCATTCAGTGTTTTGGTCGATTTTCAAAACAAAGGTGAGACCTAAGCATTAAATTTGAACACATTCTATTATTAGAGAAAAAGAGAGGGAGGTGGGGGGGTTGGAATTAGCATCAATACATCGTTGGCAATTTTTTTCCCCCCCTGAAATGACTCGCTCATGAGAAGAATTTTGTCCAAAAGAGATCAGGACATAAAGCTTGATGACTTAATCTTGTTGCTTCTCTCTTTTGTGGCTAGTGATGATATTTTAGATCAAAATCTAGGAAAGTTGGTGCTTTATGCTTATTGATCACTTTTCCTAATTTTACATTGTTGCCAGAAAGGTGGCATCTCGCACCCTCTATTCTAGCACTGAAACCTACTATAATTATAATTGATTCTATTTATTCATGGACTGTGCATTATTTCTCATGCATCTAGTTGTTTGTTTGATGTCTGGTAGATATGGTAAGATTTTATTATTTACTAAATAATATTAGAAAAATGATGTATAATTTCATCTATACATATTTTTTAAAGAAAATGATTTTTGTATAATTTTTTTATCTCACTTATTTGCAAAATTTGACTGTCATTAAAATGATTAGTTCTTTTAATTTATATGGAATTTATGGTATTGAATGCATTCACTCATTCAATGATATGTGAAAATTGTATAAAAAAATTATCTTTATAATACCACTTATTTTTTAATCACTGATCAAAAGCAAACTAGTTAATATTGGGTAATTCCTTTTTTATTAAAAGTTATAAACTATGCAATTAGTAAAAAATTAGCTATCTCAAATAAATATTGTGGTGCATCAATTTCAATTTAAAAAACGGAATTACACGAAAAATTAAATGTGAAACCTCTAAAATCCCAGCGTGCGAGAGAATATGACTGATAACTCAATATTTTATCAGCTTGGAAAAGAAACAAAAATATCTAAATACACAATCTATACAAACCACTGCATTCATTTGTAAATAAATATTATTTTATAGATTAAATTTAAATTAAAATTTAAAAAATAAAAAAAAAAAAATAAATTTTTTAAATACACTAAATATAAAGTAATCATTCAAAAACAAATTAAATCGGAAATAATATAAAACGTTTAATGTCCCTATAAAAGGTTTATTTAATTTGTTCATAATGACACATATCAAATTTTATTAATTATAAAATTAGTAATAAAAAAACAAAAAGCAGACAGTCTTGACGAGGTTAAAACCGTCTATCATGTAGTGTCCACGTGAACCCCAACATGAGAGTCACATAATGGATAGCTCTAATCCTACTAAAATTGTTACTCAATATTGATTTTTCACAATTCCATTTGTAATTAATTTTATATAAATTTTTATATTAAATTTATATTCTAAATAAAATATAAAATTAAAATATAATATAATATTTATACTCAAAATTTATAATATAAATTTAATATAAAAATTTATATAAAATTAATTAAAAATATAATATTTAATATTGAAACAAAAGGTTAAAAAATTTCCTCTTTGAAATAGTCTAAAAACAAATTAATACGAGGAACCTAAATGGCAACCCCAATGCTATAACGGTAAATAAAAAAAAAATAAACAGCCTGTACGTTGGTAAAAAACGGCCCATAAATTATAATAATAAAATACTAATAAAATATTTATAAAAAAAAAAGAAAATAAAAAAAAAGAAGAGTAAAGTAAGTACATACAGTATGACAAAGAGACCAAACTACTTTTCTTCTCCATTGGGTTGCACACTCTTCCTAACTTCACTCTCTTGCTACTTTCTCCAACCCCCAATCTCACCCTCACTTCCTCTCTCCGTGTTCCCAAAATGCCGATCAACAGAGACCCCTCCACGCCTCCGCCCATGATCGGCAAGATTGGGCCTTACACCGTCTTCGTCACCCCACCTGCAACCCCCAAGCCCGCCGAGCCCCTTTACCACTCCCCTCAAAAGCCGCAGCAACCCCCCCTTTTTGAGTCTCCCAGAAAGGTGCAGCCTCGTCCTCCTCCGGTACAGCCCCCGCCTCAGCAGTTTGATAAGTCTGTTGTTGCCTCTGATGGGTCCATTTTGGGTTTCTTCAAGAATGCTGCCACCAAGGTGCAGAATGGTATGTTGTTTCTGTCTTCTTTTCTCTGTTTTTTAGCTGCTCTGTTTCGTTTTGTTCTTCTGTGTTATTGCATGTGGTGTTTGCTTTCTGGGAAAATTGACGGGAGTGATGGAAGAATAGGTGTAAAACAGTGATGGATGTTGCTTCCTTGATGGGTATTTTGGTGTTGCAAGGAGTACTGGATTTCTCAAGGCAAAAATAGTAATTCTTGTATTTTTGTTGTCTTGCAGCTCATTCAAGCTTGGATGACCGTCTGGCGCGCTGGTTTGGGTTAAATCAGTCCAAGTATCAGTGGGCACTTGATGATTACTATGAGAGCAATGGACTGGTAAGATTAATTGAAGTTTCCAACATTCTATACTTTCTGTTATTTTTGTTCTTGCATAGGAGGGTTTCAATTTATGGATTTATTTGCTGTATTACTTTTAGCTTCTTGGGTTGGGTATTATTGTTATGCGAAGTTTGGTGTGATAAAAAGTGTTCCTAAAGGTACTGGTGAAGTAGCTTGTAAGCAATTGCTATTCTCCTGGTGCTTTGCTTCATTTTTTTTCTTTGAATAAAGTATGGATTCGTAAATTAAACTCTTAACAGTTGTGGATTTGAGCTAATTTATAATGCTTTCATTGTTGCATTCCCTTTACTTGTTAGTCTGTCTGTGAAGCCACTAAAGATAGAATCCAAGAGGTTATTGGGGTGAATTTGGTTGGGTTCCATTTAGATTTTTCATCCTTTCCTCAAGGTTTCTTCTTGAGAGTTTGCTTCACTAGGCTCACATAGAGGATCAACCTCTTTACTCAAAAAGGGTGAATAATAGATAGTAATACTAGTCTCTGAACAAGAAAAAGTAGACAAACTCCATGAACAAAGCTTGACTGGTCAATGTAGCATCATAGATGTTCTCATGTAGCTTGATAATCTGCTAGTACCAGCAGTTATTCCTTTGCAGCAATATGCTCCTAGGGTAGTAAAAAGTGCTTCAATATATCAGCATTTGGTATGAAGTGTTAGGTATCAGATATTTTTCATTTTACAAAATCCTTATGTTTTGATAGTTCTTTTCGGCAAAAATCATTGGCATAAAGTACCATAAATAATGCTTGCCATCTGAATTCTGAACTGAAGTTTTAGGGCACACTTTTGGTTTTAGAAATTCATTACATATTATCCACCTTTTGCAAGATATATGTATATATATATATAAACCTCACGGATAAGAAAATATTACTAATTAGATCATTTATTTCAGGGCAGATTGCCAAATCCAATTAATTTCTTTATGGGACCTGTAGCTAATGTTTTTGATCTTGTTACTGGTGTATCATATTATTGCATCCACTGATATCTATTAAAGAAATTTAAGGATGTTTTTTGAATTTTCTCTTCATCTGCTGGTGAGTAAATGTATGTTCAGGAGGTTGTGAAAGAGTGAGGTTTCTTGTCAA